TTCATCTTATGGCTGATTTGTAGAGGGAAGCTTCAAACAAAATGTATGCTGGCCAGATTTTTACCCATTGATACCTTATGCCAGTTTTGTTTGAAGGAGCAGGAGGATATTGAACATCTATTGTGCAAATGTGAATATGCAAGAGATATCTACAGAAAGCTCCTCCCTAGTCTTGGCTATAATTTTGAAGGTCGCAACCATAAAGAAGTGATGAGGGATTCTTTAAAGATAAAACCACTTAGGAAGAGAAGGGAAATCATTTCCACTTATGCAGCCACTGCCTATGCAATATGGAAGGCCCGTAACCAAAAGATTTTCCAAGGGAAATCCAAGCCTACTGAGGATGTATTCCAGGAGATTATATACCAAGTGAGTGTGTATATGGAAGGAAAAGGAAAAGCCTAGTTACTTTCGGTTTTTTTTTCTTCTTCTTGCGCAGTTCTAGAATGCTTGTCCATTTGGAGTATTTTGTTCTCCTGTTCTTTGTAATATGTTGTTTTCATTGACATTTAGTGGTGAAATATATTTGCTTTCGGTTCAAAAATAATAATAATAATAATAATAATAAAGAGGCGAGATTCTCTCTCTAGCCATGGGAAAGAGAGGGCGACCGCCAAAACCTATCGGAAAAGACACCGGAGATGCGATTGCTACACCGTCGATTGAAGAGAAGGCAACAAAAAAGGAAGACCCTGAGGTTTCGAACAAGAAATCACCTACTGGATGTGCTACACCCATCCAACCACAACCAGATCTGGAGATCGAGGAGTTGATCGCGACAAAGGAAGAGGCTGAGGATAAGTCTGAAGAAAAAAAAAGCTACGCTGATGTTGTTGGTATGCAGGATGACCTGAATTTTGCCCTGAAGTTTATCCCGATTGAAGAAAATGAAGGCCTGCGTATAGTCAAACTAACAACAGAGGATGTGATTGAACCGGGTACGTACTGGGAATCTGCACTGGTGTGTTGTATCTTAGGAGCAAACCCCCCACTGGAAATAGTTAAAGGATTTTTATCTAGAATCTGGAAAGCATATGAAATTGATGACATTTCATTCTTAAGGGAGGGACAATTTATTGTTAGATTCCATAAAGTAGAGGACAGGGATGAGATCATAAAGAAGAAGTACTACGTTATAGACAACAAACCAGTATTTGTTCAAAAATGGTATCCAGGATGTAAATTGAACCTGCTGGAAAGAAAGGACATACCCATATGGATTAAGCAAATTGGGCAGTGTTATTGGACAACCAATCAGGAGGGATAGGGCAACAGCTTCAAGAGTCAAATGGTCATATGCCCGTATTCAAGTTGAAGTCCAGATTAACCAAACATTTCCTGATCAAATTAATTTCCTGAATGAAGAGGGCAGAATAATAACCCAGAAGATAAAGTATGAATGGGCTCCCACTGTTTGCTCACACTGTAATAGAATTGGTCATGTGTTCGAGATGTGTAGAAAGAGAAATACTGAAAACACAAAGGGTACAGGAG